GTGCTAAAGTCATCGTGCTAAAGTCATCGTGCTAACATCACGTGTTCTATATGCAAAGTAACACACTGCTTCACACGTCACAATGTTCAGTGAAAGTTAACACAACACAGATAAAACCACATTTTCAAAGGTTCAGCAGAACTACACACCTGACACATGTGATGCGACGAGTCTTCTTCTGTGGTCTGTTTAATGGCCCAGAGCTCCCCCTTCAGGAGTCTGCAGGAATCACTACTCAATCACAAGCAACTCTTCTTCTCCTTCTTCTCCTTCTTCTCCTTCTTCTCCTTCTTCTTCTTCTTCTCCTTCTTCTTGTTCTTCAGCTCCACAGGTAACTCTTTACTCTCTTTACTCATGTTTTTAACTCTATGAATCATTCTGAACTTTACTGAACTTATGCTTTTGAACCTTTTCCTCTTTTTATTGAAAATACTGAAAGAAAAAAAAAAATCAAAATGTTCAACGTAACAGCAGCAGAAGGAGAAGACCAACGGATGGACACACAACACAACAGTTAGACATTTAAAAAATGCATTAATACAAATAAATAATTCCATAATTCCATTCTGTCCCAATGACTGTGTTTAGAAACCGTTCTACAAATATCTGCCACCGTCAACTTTGGACTGTCAGCGTGTTCTGACATCCCACAAACAATCAGCTGCTTTTTAAAAGAAATCTTTACTCGCACAGAAAAACTCTGCAGGAGATTAAAAGATGATGGAGAAAAGAAAGATGTGAAAGAAAACAGGAACATTCAGTCTCTGTGTTTCACCACAGTCACAGACGTACATTTACGATCAGACTAATGATAATGAACTACTGACTGCTCTTGTGTGTCTGTTCAGCTGTTGGCAGTGCAAAGATCCTCGTCTACTCAGCTAATGAAGGAGGAAACATCACCGTCCAATGCTCCCTCTCGTCTATTCAAAGCAGAAAGTTCTTCTGTCTGGACAAATGTACAGCAGCAGATATTCTCATTGAAACGACAGAGAACTCAGCGAGGATTGGCCGATACAGCATCAACTATCAGAATCAAGGTTATCAAAAAGTTCTGTCAGTGACCATCACACAGCTGAGCAAGTCTGACTCTGGAACGTACCAGTGTGGCAGCGGCACATTTCCCAGGATGGAGAAGTTACAGATCATCGTCACTGATGGTGAGCCTCAACTCAAATACATGGAAATGTGTCGCCCGTCTGAATACGGGCTGCAGTACCTGTTTTAAACACTTGCTGTCAGTCTTTCAAATTGACCCTGTGAGTTCAGATGTTTGTCTTCTCAACAGTTTATCTGGACAGAAGCTCTGAAGTGAAACCGCTCTATAAAAGAAGTGGAGAGAACGTCACTGTTGAATGTGCCTTCACTAACCCTGGAACAATGAAAACCTTCTACAGAGAAGAAGGTGGAGAGAAAATGAACATGCTCGTCCAAACCACTGGTGACAAACATCACAGAGGCAGATACAGCATCGTCTTTATAACCGGCTCCAAAAGAAAAGGATTCGTGTTTGTGACCATCACAGACCTCGTCACGTCTGACTCAGGACGGTACAGATGTTCTGTGGGCGGAGAATCATACAGACACTTTGACGTCATTGTCAGAGATGGTAAGTTTCCACTGAAGCTGTCAAAGCTTCTTAACGTTGGTTGATCGTTCGTCAGATTTCCATTAAACCTGGCGGAGGGACGTGGGGTCAGGGAAGATTTCAATTTAAATGAACTGAATTGAACTTTGATCCAGATCCTAATAAGGTTTCAGTGATTTCTAGTTTGTAAATAACTGACTTGTAGTTTCTCTCCGGATCATCTGTCGTCAGGATTTCTGTGAATCTGTGTATTTTTCCCTCAGAATCCACAAGTTCACCAGCTTCACCTGAAACAACCAAACCGTCCGAGACACAGCCGGTGGAGACGACAGGTAAAAACACACACTGGCTTCATAGATCGACAACTACGTTTTCTTTTTCAAGTACATGTAACTACATCCTTTCAGTGCCTATTAAAGCCCAAACACTGATTTAAATATGTGTCCTGTATAAACCTCAGGGGCTGATGCGTCGTTCTCGACCAACGACGTGATGCTGCCTGTGGGACTGACGCTGGTCGTCATGGTTGTCCTGTTATCAGGGGCTGCACTGATATTCTGCAGAAACAGGACTAACAAACCCAGAGGTGAGACAACAGGAAATATACACACATGTACACACTTGTACACACTTGTACACACTTGTACACACATGTACACAACAACTGGATCTTCAGTTTTCAGTGAACATGAGAATCATTGTGACTGAAACACAGAGTCTGATTCAACACACAAACAATGAAGCTGAGATTCAAAAGTTTAAGTGCAGAAATAATGAGATGAAGGAAAACGTACAAAGAGTCGAAACACAGAGGAGACGGAGGACGAAGAAGTCGACTGCAGGACGAACAGGTGACGGAATGACAACAGGAAGTAGAAACAGAAATGCAAAATAAGACAGAAAATGAGGTCATGTCTTCCATCGTGTCCACGTGAGATGTGAGAATCACGTAGATGCAACATCCTGAAACTTGAAGTGAATATTAATGAATCTGATTCTTTCTAAGCTTTGGAACTGTTCGTCCCCAACTCCATCTTTGAATATATCTTTTCATTTGAAGAATTAAGACAGTCCCTCTTGTGGACAGTGGATGACAGGATACTGAGGGAAGGGAAACAGAAAGGTTTGGATTTGACTGATAGAACCTGTGTTCTCAGCTTCTGCTGCTGAAGCTCCAGATGTTAATTCAGGCCCGTTTGATTTGAACTTGTTTTTCAGAACCTCCCGTGGAGCCACGTCGTGCTTCTGTCCCTGAGGTGAGGAAACTTTGACCAACATCCGGAAACGATTTGACAAAAAGATAAAGTCCTTGTAACTTAAAGTGAGATTTTTGAAAAAAAAACAATTCAGATGGAACGTTGCATCACAGTGACAGGAAACAGTTTGTGGAACAATCTCAACAAAGAATCTAAAACAAAAAAAACTGTGAAAGTCAGTTTGTTGAGGAAATACACTGAACTTAGGAACTAATAAATGACGTGAGGGGCTGTGTTGAGATTTTTATAACTAACTTTTATTATTTGCCTTGTTGATGAACGTCTTGTGAAAGTTATATACGACTATTCTTCTTTCCGCTCCTTCTCATTCAAGATTTGAGATTTTGTGTTTGAATTTAAATTGTTTTGTTTTGTCGATGGATGAAATGAACCTGAATCGCTCTTCGTCTCCTGCAGCCCGGCTCAGTGTACGAGGAAATCAGAGGCGAGGGCCGAGCTCCTCCTGCTGCGGAAATCTGTCCAGTTTACTCCAACGTCACGTACAACACAACACAACCAGTCGGAGCCGGTGAGGACGACAACTCTGTCTCTGCTGCTGCTTCTCAACACGAAGTAAGGAAACGTCTCCTCTGGTAGTTTCTGTAGAAACGTCTCCTCTGGTAGTTT